GCCTGAATTCAGACAATGGAATAGAGGAAAATGGTTTCCATGCTCGTTACCTTGTTGTAAGGAATGCAGTTAATCTGGGTACGAAATCTAGGTTTGATAGTACTTAAATGTTACTGCATAACAAGCCTTCTAGTGCATATAGTCCGTTAAGGCAGTCATTTATATGCTTTAAAAGTGAAAGGTTCAACAATTTAGTGGCCACCCAATGTGGAATAAACTGACAGTGACGGTTAATACTGAGTCAGTCCAATCAAAGATCTCCTCCTTATAAACTTAGAAGTGAGAAATCGCGAATGAAAGTTCAGTTAATTTACTGACCACATAATTAAGAAGACTGCGAAGGCAGAAATACTAAAATGGCAAAGCTAAAAGTTATCTCTACAAAGCTCTATTCACAAGGTCGTGAAGCATGCAACTTAGCTTTTAACAAATGACAATCAAGCTAGGTTGGTAGTGCGGCCACAAAATCGTTGAAACCTTGTGGAAGTCTTTAAAACTTGATTCTGAATCACTGATGAAAAAAACAAACAAACAAACAAACAAACAAACATCCAACAAAGGTGGAAATCTTGGACTTTCTTTGAACATTATTTTCCTTCATTACTGATTATCATTTTTACCTCAGATATTGCAATAAAAGAAGAGAATACCATTTTAGCGACAGTTGCATTAGAGTGGCAAGAGCCGTCGCTTAGTACTGGTATTGTGAAGAATTACTTTGTGTTGTACAAGCTGTCTCAACCCTCAAAGTATTGGAATGTCGCAAAAACCAACGATACTCAAGTATCCCTGAGGGACATCCAACCTGAGTCAGAATATACCGTTAGAGTGCTTGTCCTCACCACCTTTAACATCACCTACGAGAGCCAAACTTTTACTTTAAAAACTGACACAGGTACGTCAATGCACAATTTTATCTTCCGATTAAGTAAATTTCGATATTGGTTTAATGCCATTGTACTTAACGTCTAAGGATGGTACCATTGTCTTATTGTTGGCATGTTAGTCTCCCTGAAAGTTGACACGTGTTCTTGTGTTACCTGCCTTGACAAGACTACTTTTACAGTGTCTCTCATGACCTAGTGGTTTCAATGTAACCGGAAAGTTGGCAGAATAATCCAACAAATTGCTGACACAGCATCTCACCTGTAATGAAATACAATTCACTCCAAGAGGTCAATACTAATAATCGTAGTCACTTTACGCCGATGTAACCAGTGAGAAGTAAGGACGGTACCTGCGTGAATTACTAGGTTTGAGATGAGGGAAAATCAAGTCTAAGAGACACAAAGGTTCTTTATTATATCTAGACAAAGAGTGAGCAAAGGTAACAAGGGCAAAATATGCTGTTATATTTAGAGGGAAAACGTGACGACGACGACGGCGGCGACGGCGGCGGCGCAACGTTCTGATCGAAATTTGAAAGGCTTAGGCGGATTTTTTCAACCTTGATTGGACAAATTTAAAAATGGCATCGATAGGTGGAACCACCTCGTTGTGTGAACAAGGTGAAACCGCGATGAATAACCCTTGTACATATAGAGAAAGCTGTCACGAGAAGATATTTTGGAAAAAAAGATATCACAATTGTGTTGTGCCAGTCTTGAGGCCGCCCGTTCGTGTCGGCCCTGGGTACGGTGTCCCCCACGCACCGAAATATATTGCCCAATTGAGCTACTTAGAGCAGCTTGACCATCTAATCCTAGATGTCTTAAGGAATTTATACTTATATTAAACTGAAGCACAGGAGGTAGAATTCTGTGGCAATATGCTGGAGAAAACAACTTATCATATGAAACGCTGAACAGTCAATTTGACTGTGAATTTGAAAGAGGTATCGATCGTGTTGTAATTCAACGGTAACAAGAGTAAAACGCAGCAGAATTTTTAAGTTATGTATCGCATCTTACCATTAAATCGCTATGCACCGTGGGATTTACATGATGCAGCTGCCAGTAACAGTATTTAACCTAGAAATCTGCGGAGAAATACTTGACGCGGGCCGGACACACAGCACAAGTTATAGGTTGTTTGAAGAAAACTGACCTCAAAATAAATCGGTTTCGTGAAATTTCCTTTGGCTTAGCTATAAAATTGCACATCATGATTAAATATTTTTTCTCAAAGGACTTTTTTTTAAGCC